CTCCGCGGCTCCTCTAAGAGGCCAGCAGCGCCCCGCGCCCAGCGGAGCCGCTGTCCCCCACCTTCCAGGCGCCCCGAAGCACGGCGCCCGCCACCAGCGCCAGGGAGGCCGCGTCCAGCAGTCCCCACCTGCCATCCTGCCAGCTCGGCCCTGCGCTGCCCTCCTGCCCCTCCCCTCCACTCCTGCTGCTCGCTGAGGGCCTTCCTCAGACCTCCTGCCGAGGAAGGAGGCACACGTGGCTCCTGGGGGGGAGTGGGGTGTCCCCTTCCCTGCTGCCCCTCAGGCGGCAGCTGCCTTCACCATGCACCATCGTCCCCTTCCTGGGCCCCAGGATCAGTTTCCTGAGGTGGCCCCGTGCCCCTGCCATTTCCTGACCTTCTCTGCCCCCCCAGGCCGTCCCTGGTCGCATCCCTGCGGCTCCCCTTCCGCCCCTCTACCCTCCAGCTGCCCTCTCCTGCCGTCCCCCCTGCTGGTTCTCCTCCTCCCCCCTCCCCTCCCCACAGGGGGCTCCACCAGAGAAAGGCGGTGGACCCTGCGGGGTTCGTATTTGGGCAGGAGGCCGGCACCTCAAGAAGCACACTGGCGCACCTCCCCATCCCCCGCCCCAGGAGCCCAGGTCCACGGGGGTCCCAGAGACCCAGGGGCCCAGGAAACCCAGGGGTGGATGGGCCTGTGGGCCTAGGTCGGGGCCCAGGAGCCAGGAGGCCCTCCCCACACGGGGGGTGGCAGTACTGGGGTGGCCTAGTCGCCTCGGTGGCCTCCTGCCGGCCACTCCGGGGCCATCCACAGCAGAAGAAATCTGCGGCAGGAGCCTTCAGGTGCGGCCCCCTTGGCCTCTGAGGGACCGGGTGGCGCCTCTGCTTCCAGAACCACGGCTGGTGGCCGGGTTGGGTTCTGAGGTCAGGGCAGAGTGATCGCTGGGGGGACACTCCGATGCCCCCCAGCCATGTCCAGGCCCTCCCCCACAGGCCATGATGCCGTCTCGCACCCTGCACCCGAGGTCGCCCTGTGCTCATCCTCTAGCTGCACAACCTTGGCCACTACACCTTCCCAGTGTGTGCGCAACACCTCTGCCTCAGTTTACCCCCTCCTGCCACTCATTCCTGCCCCCCTTTCTCCCAGATGATGCCGCACACGGCCCGGGTGCCTCCCCTAGCACAATAACTCGGGTTTCCTTCCCATTTTTTCAAACAGTGACATTGCACTTCCTCCAGGAAGCCTTCCTGGACTGATCCTGTCTTTCAGAAGGAGAGAAATTACGGAAGTGTAGCTTATGGAAGTGTAGCGCGAGGGCACCCAGCGCCAGGGTGCTTCAGCGTGTTGCCTGAGCAGAGGGAGTATGACCCGACCTCCTCCTGGTGCTGCCCCCCCCACAGGGGGAGGGGATTTCCGGAACCACCGCTCAGACCCCACGCCCCAAGCACCTTCCCTGCCATAGCAGTCTCCCTACATCGGTGTCGGCAGTGGGACTCCTAGGCTGCGCCCATGCCCGGGAGGGGCGGCCCAACTGCGCTCCTGACTCGTCAGCGCCCCAGGCCTGGCACCCGGAGAAGCCGGCCAGAACCTCAGAGCCTCAGGGCGCAGGGAAACGTGGGCGCTCTGGCCCCTGGCTAAACCCACAGGGCCCTAGGCCTCCCCTCGCAGGCCCCGCCCCCGCAGGCCCCACCCCCGGGGGCTCCACTGGAACTTCTAGCCCAGCCCTTTCCCCCCCAGGGCCAAGGCCTACCATCCTCAGCCCTCTTCACGGCTCTGGGACAAGCCCGTGGACAGGAGACACGAGGAGCCCCGTGGGCCCCACGCAGAAGTGCGGAAGACCCCCCTGGACCCGATGTCACCTGGACAGGTCGCTCCTGGGTCCTCCCGCCCCCCCCCCCCACCAAGTCCTAGGTCTCTTCTTGCTCACACAGCAGCGCCGGGTCCACGCAGGTGGGAGTCCACGGTGCGCGGGGCAAGGTGGACTGGGCCACGCACTCCAGCAGGTGCACAGCCCTGTTCGCACACAGGAATCCAGATGTGGGGGCCCCTGGGGGGCTCAGTGGGTGAGCGTCTGCTTTCAGCCCAGGGAGTGACCCCGGGGTCCCGGGATCCAGTTCCACATCATCGGGCTCCCTGCATGGAGCCTGCTCCTCCCTCTGCCTGGGTCTCTCTCTCTCTCTCTCTCTGTCTCTCATGAATAAATAAATAAAATCTTTAAAACAAAAGAAGAAAGAACCCAGCTGCTACGGCAGGAGCGGGCCCAGGGGAGCAGCGCTCGCCTCAGCCCTTGGACCTTCCCCTTCTCTCTGACGCGGCTGCTGTGAAATCTGTGCCCGCGCGGGGTTCACCCCTTGGCCGGGGGCCGGGTGGCGGGGGACAGAGGCTGGGGGGCAAGTCCGACTTCCGAGCGTGGTGTGGCGGGGAGCCCAGGGGCATGTGCGGTCCCGCGACCCCGGGGCAGTCCCCAGGCTCTGGGTGCGCGCGGACCGGGGAAGCGAGCCCCAGGAGTGCAGGTGCCCCATCCTGGGCTGAGGCAGCAGCAGCGCCAGGCCCCGCCCGAGCGGCCCCCCGAAAGCCCTGCCTGAGGAGGCCTCAGGGCGCTGAGCACGAGTCGGGGGCCACGGAGGGGTGACTGCAGGTCCCCGGGCAACACCTTCTCTGTCCCCGCACAGCGCACCCCCAGCCCTGCTCCAGACCCGCACCTGGAAGGACGTCAGTCCGGCCAAGCGGCCTGGGGCTCTCCGCGCCCCCCCCCCCCATGGCTTCCTCCCCTTGCGCTCCAGCCCTGGCGCCCGAGCCCCACCACAGCCGCTCTCGCAGGCCCAAGGGAGCACACGCGTGGCGTCCCCCCAGGCCCTGCGAGGGACCCCCCTTCATGCAGCCCACACAGCCCCAGGGCCTCCCGGGCCCCAGGGAAGGAGGAAGGCGAGAAACGCCACGATTTCACCCCGAAACACAGAAGGCCACGGCTGACACGGTCTGCCTTGACCCGCGCTGACCTCCTCGAGTTTCGGGCCAGAGGGGAGGCCCGGGGAGGTGGAGCGACGGGCTCCGAGCCACACCGCTGGCACAGGAAGGACCCCGAGGTGAGGGCGATGCCTGACGCACCCCAGCCCCCCCAAACCCAGGAGTCACCCCTGCCCGCGGGGCAGGCGAGTTCTGTTAGGGGCAGGATCTGCTTCAGGTTCAGGAGGGACGGGCCCTGGGCCCCCAGGAGAGGGGCCTGGTTACCAACTGGCCGCCCGGGTCTCAGGAGGAAGTGAAGACCTTTCATGATCTGACCCCAGGAAAGTCCACCAAGTCCTGGAATGAAGTCCAGATACAGCGCTTCCGACGGAGAGCTTTTGGGGTTTCGGCGGGGGTGCTTCCTGGAAGCGCTGCGTCCATCCGGGCGCTCAGGCTCTGAGCAGAAGCCATGCCACGGCCCCCTCGAATGCCGGAGCCCAGCGCCCTCCAGGGCAGCGCCACCCCGACCACGGTGAAGGCAGTCCCGTCGCCCCCCGTACCCCGGGAAGAGCAGCGGCATAGACAGTGCAGAAGTCATTGGCTTCGGAAAGCAAGAAAATGAGTTTTCAGCAGCACCCGACAGTGTCCTGCCGGTGTGCGCAGAGGCTGTGGCCGGGAGGCAGGCCCGGAGCCCTCCCTTCCCGGGACCTGCCCGGAGCTCGGTGGGGCGGTGGCTCTGCAAGCTCCGTGCGTGCGTGTGCACGTGAGTGCGTGTGTGTGGAGTGTGTGTGCACGCACACCCGCGTCACCCCCCTGTGTGGCAGGCCCCAGAGGGAAGGGAGAGTGCGTCCCCACCGCCCCGGGCGCCCGGTCCGCGGGGGAGGCGGCGGGCATGACCCACTGTGACCAAGACTGACGCAGGGGCCACGTTGAGGCTAGGCCTCCGCTTGGAGAGCAAAGGGTGTTTTGCTGGGAGGATGTGGAGGACAGGCCTGAGAGGACTCCCTGCGCCCTCGGGGCAGACGCAGGTCCAGGAGGAAGGATGGGAAGAGGGCTCCCTGGGGACCCTGCACGTGGGCAAGGGAGAGCTGGGAGGTGAGGAAAGGCAGGGGCTGTTCAGGGGACGGAGAGGGGACACACGGCCTGGGCTGGCTTTCAGTCCCCTCCCAGTGGGGGAGGTCTGGGCCCTGTCCCCCTTAGAGCAGAGGAAACAGCAAACCCCAGATCCCCAGACCCCCAGGCCCCAGGTCCCCAGACCCCCAGGCCCCAGGCGCCCTGACACCCCACTGATGGGCCTTGGTGGGGCTCTGGCTCAGGTCCTGCCCCCAGGCTCATTCCCGGGCGATCCCTGCCCCAGCCGGGCAGCCGGTCCCCGACCCCACAGAGGGGCCGCCTGTCCATCCCCAGGACCCCCGCCGGGGCCTTCCTCTCCAGGCTCTGAGGCCTGGGGCCTCCCTTTCAGCCCGCTCCCCTTCCCAGCGCTGCTTTAAAACTGCAGGGGAGGAGGATGGAGGGGAGCAGCCCTCTGCCCTTCCCCGCTCTGCCTCTGCGGTTGCGCTCGGCAATGATCCTACAGGCCTGGAATCCCAGGAATTTCCTGCCCCGCGCTCCCTGCGAGAGAGGAGACCCAGCAATTAGGCCCAGAGTTTCCACTCCTGCTGCCCCCGCCCCAGCCAGGCGCCGGGGCACTGCCCGCTCCCAGGGCCCCCCCACCCCGGCCGCGCCAAGGCTGCCCCTGGGCCACCCAGCCCTCACCCCGCGGTCAGCCGCCCCAGCCTGGGCCAGAACGGGCCACACCCTTTCCTCCGCCCCCAGGGATCCCGGAACCCTGCTGGGCACACGGGGCTCCCGCCTCGGGATCACTCAGTCCTTTCTCTCTCTCTCTCTCTCTCTCTTTTTTTTTTAACTTTCTTTTCCTTTCCTCCAACCGGCCCGGCCTCCGCCCTAACCCTAACCCTTCCTCCTCTGGGCCCCAGCCCTGCCCAGTCTCCCTCCTCCTGCCCTCCCCCCCTCGGCTCCTGGGCTCCCAGGGTCTCATTAGGTACTGACTCCTCTGATCCGCGCGCGTCCCGGCTCACCCTGACAGTCAGACCTGCTCCCCGGCAGCATGTCCGTGGCCGGGACCTTCCAGAAGCCAGGGTGGAAGGTCTGGGCTCCCACTTCTAGGGTTCAGGCAGAGACCCAGGGACCAGAATGGGGGAGGATGCTCCAAGTCACCCGAAGGAGCCCTTACATAACTCCCTTCTGCAGCAGCCAGAACAGCAGAAGCGAGTTTCTCTCCCTAATCACATTTTGTTGAGGCTCCTGGGAAGATCCGCCCTCGTTCCCCATCGCACAGCAGCCCACACTGGGTGCTGGGTCCCGGGTGCCAGCTCGGGCCACCTGGGAGTCAAGCACTTGCCGCAGATAATCCTCCAGCCAGGCCCGCCGCCCAGCCGCCCGGTGAGTGGGGGCTCCGTCCTGCTCCGTCCAGGGCCCCTTCCCGCCCTGCTAGACCCCCTTCCTGATGCCCGTGCCACCCCCTTCTCATTCTCCCTCACGGCAGTGGATGTTTCTGAATCCTCTCTGCCCCGCGACCCGGGAGGTTGGACCAGCTGCTTCCACGCACCCCCTCATCCACACAGCGCGCTCCCTCCCTCCCCAGGCAGGCACCCGCCCTCCGCCAGCCAGGCTACACCGCCGCTGCCCTCGCCCGCCCGCTGCCCTCGCCCGCCCGGGCCTCCTCTCCTCCCAGGCCCTGAGTCCTGGTAATCGTGGGCCGGGCTTAAATGCAAACCCGGGCTTGGCGGCTTCCAGAAGCCTCGGGAGGAGGAGACTCGGGTGAAAATGTGGATGGGAACGCGCGCTACCCCGCTCCCTTCAGCCGCGAGTCTCCAGTCCCCCCCTTCCCTCCCAACAAAGCTTTTCTGTCAGGTTTCTGACTCTGATGAAGACTTTTAGCCGCAGCCCTTCTCCCCGCCCCCCCCCCCCCAATTCTGAAGGATCTTTTGTCTTCTGAGCAAAAGAACTGAGGGATTCGAAAGGCGGCCTTCTTTCTTTTCCCCCTTGTAAGTAATTGGGGAAGAATTTTAAAAAGAAAAATTTTGAAGGATAAAAGACAGGAAAAAACAATATGCAGCTATTTTCTTTCTCAAAAATTCATTTTAATGGAAAACAAGAGAAAGACCTTGAGGAAAAGACAGAAGAAGGCTGGGAGAAATGCAGAAGCAGGAGGGGGGCCGGAGGCATGTGACCCGGCACTTAGGAGGACCATCACCGGGAGCATTCGGGGGCTCATCACAGGGAGCACACGGGCCCGTCACTGGGAGGACTCGGGAGCCCATCACTGGGAGCACTCAGGGGAGCCCACCACTGGGAACACATGGGATCCTGTCACTGGGAGCACATGGGAGGCCATAACAGGGAGCACTTGGGGGCTCATCACTGGGAGCACTCGGGAGCCCATAACAGGGAGCACTCGGGGACCCATCACTGGAAGGACTTGGGTGCCCATCACTGGGAGCACCCAGGACACCCATCACTGGGAGGACTCGGGTGCCCATCAACAGGGCTGCATATCTACTGAACAGTTTCTCCCAATTAGAGAGAAAAGAAGGAACTGGAAGCCCCCGCTGAGGCCGTAGGAAGAGCGCTCCCCTCCATGCAGCACCTGGCGGTGCCTGGCATTCAGTAAATGCTCAATAAGGGCAGGGATGAGCAAAGCAGGCTGTCACGGGCTATAGGTGCTGTTTTTCGTTTCCCCCGGGGACCAGATGAAAGGCTGGCTGGGGACAGAGCGACAAGAGGCACAGGGCTCAGGCCCGTCTCCCGGGGTGCGGGTGTGCGAGGCCCCCAGAGGTCACACGGTGCCGAACTCTTCTCGTCCTACCCGTGGCCTTCCCTGGGCCAATGAGAAGGCGGGTGTGGGATCCTGGGTGGCGCAGCGGTTTGGCACCTGCCTTTGGCCCAGGGCACGATCCTGGAGACCCGGGATCAAATCCCATGTCGGGCTCCCGGTGCATGGAGCCTGCTTCTCCCTCTGCCTATGTCTCTGCCTCTCTCTCTCTCTCTCTCTGTGACTATCATAAATAAATAAAAAAATAAAAAAATAAAAAAAAAAAAAGAAGGCGGGTGTGATCACCACCTCCTCGGCCCGGCGCCCGCGTCCCAGCATTCAAGGGAATTACTTGGAGGCAGTAGCGGGTGTCGCCAGCGGGGAGCCCCCCTCCCGCACCCCGGGGGTGGACTGCACCTGCACACCTCACCCGGGGTTCCCGCGGCTCTCCACAGCCCGCTCCACCGACGATACCAGGTGGCCTAGGACCGCGGCTCGCATCTTCGGAGCTGCTCACTGCCTGGCTGCCCGCCCGTGTGCAGGTTCTGCCCAGTCTCAACTGATGGGATTTACCCCGTGAAAGATTCGGGGCCACATACACAGCCATTTAGTCCAGGATGCGCACGGTACGTTTCAAGGAAAAAGTCGGCAGTGGGCAGTGGGCGAGGCGGGGCTGGAGCGTCGAGCCAGAAAGAGAAGCAAGACGGGGGCAACGACTCGAGCTCGGGTCCGGTTAGTCCGCTCGGTGCTCGCCAGGAGCTTCCGAGCAGCAAGTGCAACGAGGGCGAAGCCAAAAATCAGTGATGCAACGTCTCATAGCCTCGAAATAAAAACCAGCTGGCGGCTTGGGAAGAGCACGGCCACGGCACATTCTCCGCGGATGCTCAGCAAGACCTCGTGGTGCACTGAGCCACATCCAGCAACATCCCCCCCCCCGTAAATACCCTGAGTTTCAAGGCTCAGGGGAAGCAATTCCTAGGGGGCCCGGAGCCCGTCAGCCCCTGCCGGCCACTCTCTGAGGCTCTGGCTCAGTCTGGGGATAAACCCAGAGTATCTGCAGGCGAGGACAGCAGGGGGGCGTCACGGCTGAGGGAGAGCCCCCCACCGGAGGCCGGACTCCTGCCCCAGCACAGCCACTACTCCCACGGCCACTGGTTCCCGGGAGGCACCTGCAGGGAAGGAGCCAGAAGCCAAGACTGTGGGCCGCCAGCTATGCCGACGTCCGCGGCGGGGGGGGGGCTGCTTGAGTGGAACCCCCAAAATACAAAAGTACTTGGGCATTTAAAATAAATCTCTATAGCGTACATGGAAGCCCCAAATATCGTTTAGCTCCTGGCCATCCTGAGGCTGGGGAGAGGGGGTCCTGCTGGAGGCACCCCCCCCACCTGGAGCATCCAGGTGAGTGGCTCCAGCAAAGCTCGTGGCCACTGCTGGACCCTCACCCCCCTCTGGATGGAGAGCCCGGGGACCCCATCTAACCCCCCGAGGCAGCACAGAGGTCAGCCAGCCGGTGACCCCGCGTCCTGTACCCTGGAGATCACCCGGTGGGAGGCTGTCCACACCTGAGGCCCCCCCCTCCCCAGCGTGCGGGGTCCAGAAGCTCTTCTGCGGGGGGGGGGGGGGGGCGGATCCTGATCTGACCAGAGCCCTGCCCGCTGACCCCGGCCTCCTCCTCGGGGCTGGGGGCTGGGCCTCCAGGCCTGGGTGGGCCCGGGTGCAGGGGAGGAGGTGGAGGCGGCGCTGGAGCTCAGGTGCCGCTGAGCCCCTGGGTGAACAAGGACCTGGCGTCCCTGGTGTCCACCCCCCCCACCCCCGACACAATGGCCAGGAGTCTGGAACCTGCAGCCTGTTACTTAATTATCTCTGAATGGTTTTTGTTCCTGGCTTTAAACATTTACCCCTGTTGGGTTTTCACGCCTTCACCAGGGCCTCTGTCTCCTTTTCTTTGCGGTTGCCATGACAACGACTCCAGGCGTACAACTGCTCTCTGATTTTAAATAAAAAGTTGAGGTTTCTCTCTCTCTTCCCTCCCCCCATCCTCCCCCCTCGTTCTCTCTGGGATGGATGAGGTTTCACTCTCATCCCAGCCCTCCCCTTCACCTTCCTCCCTGCCCTGTGCCCTCCATCCAGCTGCTTCCTTATCATCACCTCTTCTCTCATTTCCTCCTTCCACCTGCCTCCCCCCCCCCCCAGACCTTCAGGCTCCAGGCTGGTCCTAATCCCCAGCTCGCGGGCGTGGCGGCCGGGTTCGGGGTGGGGTGGGGGACATGCACATCCGATCCCCACGCTCCTGGCTCCTGATCTACACCTACAAATTGACCTCCAGCTGTCCACGGAAGTGGGCGGAGGGTGTTGGGGGAGGCGGCGGGAACGTGGCAGGCCTCCGCCTCAGGCCTCCCAGTCCCGGTGCTCACGCTGACCTTCGGGCGGGAGGCAATCAGAGGCTTTCAAAACTGAGAAGCCTCGGCAGGTGCGAGGCGAGGGGCAGTGGGGTAACGGGACGCCGAAGACCCTGCCGTTCCTGCCCTCCTGGCACCGCCTTCACCGCCAAGGCCGAGGGGTGGCAGGGCAATCCCATGCGGGCAGAGCCGTGGCGTCGGAGGCAACGCACCGACACCCAGGGGCCCTCACCCCGATGCCTTGCGTGAAGGCACCCTCACAACCCCCTGGCGGAGCGCAGGGGGCTTGCTGGACGCGGCACCGTGTAGGTCACCGTCACCCCGACGTCAGGCAGGCGCTGCGGCCTACGCTGGACTCCCGACAACGAACCCAGAGCGTCGAGACTCGATTTGACCATGCGCTTCCGCGCCCCAGGTCCCTGCCCGATGCCACGCAGGTGCCGACCCGGATGTCCGCCCCACAGGCATGCACGCGCCCCCTGTGAAGATGGAAGCCCCCGGGCAGGCCCAGGCCAGGAGCCTACGGGCCTGGGTCCCCCCCCAGCTGCGAGGAGCCCCCGGCCCGGCCCAGCCGTCCGGACCGTAGAAACCCAACTGGACACAGTAGGCGCCCACGGAATGAAGTGGGCCTGTGATGCTCCGTCCCCAGCGTCCTGAGTTCAAGTCCTGGCTGCGCGCAGAGCTCACTTCACAAGACACTAGAAAAGTTAGAATCAGGGGCCTGGGCTGGGGGTGTTCAGAAAGCAGAGGCCGAGAAAGGGGTGGGGGGACCCGGACTGGGGGGAAGAGGCTCAGGCAAGGCTCCTGGCGGCGACCTCCCAGGCCCCCCCCGGCCCTCCAGAGCCCAGCGCCCTGGGGACCCCGCCTGAGCAGCGGCCCCAGTGTGCAGGGGGCAGGACCCTGACCCCAGGCCTCTCCCAGAGCAGATGTTGACCCTGCCGGCCCCGAGCTCCCCACCTGCCCGGCGCCCGGACCCCTAGGCCTCCGGGGCCTCTGGGGCCCCTCCCAGGCTCAGCCCCTCTCTTCAAACTGGCTCCCAGAGGAGGAAAACAGGCCCCGAAGCTCCCCCGGGGGCCCTGACCCTCGCGGCTGCCGAGGAGGCCCAGGCATGACTTATGAAAGAGGTTGGGGTTTGTTGTTTGTTATTTTTGTTTTGTTTTTCACAAAACACAACCCAGGGCCTCGGGGAACTTGCAATCTGGTGGAAAACCGAAAGGTCAGTGCTTTAAGCGGAGTCTGTGAAAT